CACCAACGTCCAATAGCTCCTGGCCGCGCATGCATCGAGAAGCATCTGCGCCTCGTACCCTATCTTCATACAGCCGTCTGCTAATTGGACGCGCGAGTGCACCCAGCGGAGTTCTACACCGCACACGGCCACTCCTCGCTTGGAGCGCCATGCACTCGACAGCGCCTTGCTTGTCACGTTTGCCAAGTGCCGAAATCTCCGGCCCCGTCACTGCATCGCAGAGGCCCCTGTAATATGTCAGAAACATTGTCTGGCCCACGTCTGATCATCTCGTAGCAACTGCATGCCCGCGCTCAGCATCTCCGCCTGCGCGAGCTGGGTGCACCCCAACTCCAGAGGCCTCGCTGGCCGCCTGGATCTCGCCCCAAGAGAAGAGCGGCACTTCCACGTTAACTTCTTCGAAGTTCCAGCGATCACCGCGTTCTTTTTTCTCTGGGCTGCCAGTGCTCGCGTCTCTGTTGCAAGGAGCACGCAGCCGCCTTGATTGCTGCCATCTGCGCGCCAATGCCGCTAAGCGTCGAACCTGCAGGCCCAGACTATTTCATCGCGGGGGCGCACGGTAGCGCCCGTCGCCGCGAACTTGCGGTTCGTCTCAACAAGCAGATTGATCTTGCCCAGGTCCTTGACCGTCGCGCTGTGACCACTGCCTGCAACATGGACACATGCTCTGCAATATGCGGCATTGCCTGCGTTGAAAGCCGCCGCGCCTGCCTAACTATAGTTTTATGCGGCGCCCTCGTCTGGAGTCGACTCAGAGCCCGGACTGGACTTCCAGGCGCGCTTGAAGCTGATAGGCTGGATCGCCCCCGCAAGCCCCCCCCCCAACTGAATCGGCAACCCATGTCAGCATTCCTTGAAGTCCAGGCCACAGTCTGAATAGCCCTCCTCGTCAGATTTCCACACAACCCATCTGTATACTGAGATACTCGCACCAGGCCTTGAACCCCTAGTCTTGGGAAGCACTTGCAGTCTGGAAGTCGCCCGCGCGAACGGGCGCCAGCCCGGCCGCCAGTCCATTGGAATCCAGATTTGCGAAGAGACGCGGCTCGAGCTCGCAAGCAGACACCTGCCTCCCCCAAAAATATTTCTTGACCCTCTCGAACCACCGCCGCGGGGCATTGGCGAGGCCGATACAGGCCCCCAGGATCTGCACCGCGTCGCCGTCGTTCATCTGGAGAGCCCATCTTAATTCAGGAACAGGCACTGCACATCGCACTCGCCCCTCCTCAGTAGCACGACCTTCTAAACAAGCCGAATAATCGTCTGCTAAGAAACGACCTCTACCCTCGGTCGGCCGGCAACTGGCACAACATCATCCTGAACCTCCTCGATGGCGTCGGCGAATCTGCCCCGAACGCCTCGAGGTCCTTGTCGGCTTAGCCGATGAGTTGCAGCCTGGCCTTCGCATTCTTGCCGCCCGCCTCGCCGGGGTCGCCCGTCCGCGCCAACGCCCTGCGCATCTTCGCCAGGGCCAGATCGGGTAGCTTGCCCCCGACGACTTCCCTGCAGGGCCTGCGCCAGTCGAAGTTGATCCACCCCGTCCTTTATGGCGACAACAAACTTAGCCTCGTCCTTGACGCCCACCTTCTCGCAGCTGACCTCGACGCGCTGCCTCCGCGCCCACGCAGCCACGCACCGGCGGGGGCCCTTCGCGAAACGGGCGACGGCGTCTCTGGAGGGGACCGCTATTGATAGATAAACGGCCCCCTGCCTCTCAGTAGCTACATCGTCGCCGACCGCGGTCTTGCTGATGGAAGTCGAAACAGATTTGACGCGGTCCTCGAACTGGCATCGAGACCTCCTTCCCTTCGCCACGGACTTCGCAGCCCGGCGCGACTTCTTGGCCGCAGAGCCCTCGTCTGCAACAGCCCCCTGCAGGCGCGGCGCCTTTCCGGGTGGCCCCACGCCCTCCCGCTCGACAAACAAAACGTCAGGCTCTTCCTCCGTGTCATCCGCGGACTTGGACTCGATCGCGTCGATTACTGCTCGCATCTGGCACTGCGACTTCTGGGCCTGGCGACGCCTTAAGCCCCGCTGCCGCTGGGCCACCTGCTGCAGCAGCTGGCGGTAAAGGTTCAAGTTCCACGACACAAGCATCGCCCTCGTTGCCCAGGTCAGCCGCGCGCTGACTGGCCAAGGCCTCGAACTCGCTGCCCCCGACCTTGAGCACCGCCGCATTGATGTTCAGTGGCGTGGCGTCTCCGCGCAGTTGCTGATGCACTTCCAGCCCAATTTCGGTAGCTGGTCGAACTGACAGATTCCTCGTCCTCGGCCAAGTAAGCACTGTGCATCATAAGTAAATTGAGCTCACCTCCGAACGCGTCTCCCGCGGTCGGCCCCGGCGCCCCCCCCCGCCACCATCTCGCCAGGGCTGCGACTTTGCACCCGCCGAAGTCGTTCATCGCGTCGATCGCCTCTGCCCAAATTTGCTCCGCCATCGCGATGCTATCCGTCTCCGCTGCGACGCTGGACATGGCCTCCCCGAAGATGCCGGCGTTCCGCTCGTCAACCGACAGCTGGTCGGGAGTCTGTCGGGCCGCCACGCCCGCCATGATACCTCGAGACGAAAAGCATTCCT